CTCCGACAACACGCACCTCTCCTATCGTCCCTGATACGGGGCAGCACCAATATTCGGGCGTCGTCATCGGTTCTGATACAGTTACAACAGAGACCCAGTTTTTCTTGCGTGGGGGGCAGGGGGGGGTATACTCATAGTCGTGCATGCCGTAGTCGTTAGACCATTGACCTCGCACAAAGTGACATCCCTACAAAGCCGGGACGGAGCACGCCGGGTTCTCACCGGACCAGGCTCTCACATCACCAAGCGCGAAGCGCCGTGAGTCCGTGAGGTATTCGGCGAGTCGCATGAAGGATGCGCTGCATCCTGCCAAGGGTGTTCGGCATCTTGTGCTTATATCGATCAAGCCAAAGAGATGTGCAGGGGGTACCGGCGGCCGAAGAGGTAGTGGACGAGGAGGAAGACCCCGACAGCAACACAGAACCGGTAGTATGTCGATCGAGGAACAACTAGAGTTCAAGAACACGTGAGGACGTTGCTTCGGGCTTGTTTCTTCGTGATTGGGTATCTACAACGAACGGTGCTACTCGTGCGAAGCACAGACAGTCGATTCACACGCCGATCAACAACACAGAATTGTTATTGTTGTTGATGTTGTTGTTTGTTGTTGTTGTTGTTGTTGTTGTTGTTTGTTGTTGTCCTGACACACACAACACTAAAATTAATACTCAGAAAGTAGGTGGCACCGCTTTTTTGGCTGGAGAATGTTGCAAAAAAAGGTGCAAAATGTTTCTGCAACTTTGCTCGGGAACTTTCGTCAGGGACACTATTGGTGCACACTTATTGTGGAACGAATAAAGTGTTGTGCACAGAACTGGCGGAATGCGGAGGCACGATCATTGTTTTTTTTGCAACAGCGAGAAGAAGCCACACGCCTTTCATATCACACCGCGAAGAAATCGGCCAGAGCGTGCGGGAGGGGGTAGTGGCAACCCGTTTTCTCCACTCCCACGATACCTCAAGGCATCCTGGTACCACAGAGATGCTGGGTAGAGCTAGCTCCCTCGGGGTGGCATCACTGTTGATGTTGCCTCCTCCTTCGCTGGAAAACCAAACCATGGGCACACAATCCCCGCGAAATGAACCAACCGCTCTCTGACGCGGGTATTTTGTCTCGACGAGCACGACACCCCATGGCACCAAACCTTGGGCACGAACAAAGGAGCAGAGAGCTGCCTCCCTTCGAGTGGCCTTGCTATTGCCGTTGCTCCCTCCCCCGGAGAGTTATCGGTGGACAACCAAACCCGTGGCGGTCGAAAATACCGAACTTGAACTAACCACTCCCGGTCGTTGACGGTCGCGCATCAGCACAAACATTATTTCCCGGCGCATTCCGCACCTCACGGCGCCAAACCTTGGCCTTGCCTAGCATCCCAGGGCATCACCTCCTTCCAGATACCATTCATGAGGCACCTCGTGAGAATTCGTCGATATATCGGTGATCACAGCCTTCCACTATCAAAGCTGGAGAGGATCCATATATATATATATATTGTATATATTTGGTTTTGTCTCCCATCATTGGACTCTGTTGTCTGCCCCTCTGGCCCCTATCCTCCACTTCTACCAGCTAGACGACCCAACCGGGGTCACATAGGAGGGGGGGGTTGGGCCCCCTCCTGCGGTTCCTGCCTGAGATACTGTTATTTCGAGAAGGGCACAGCAATCCCTTCCCTCGCGACTTGTAAAGTCGATCAAGTTAACTAACAACGAGCATTGCAGCACGTCGCTTCCAACGGAGACCAGAATTAAACTAGCGAGAAAAACTCACTCTGTCAGGACCGGTAGCAGCTTGACGTCGATTGGCAGAAGTTGCGCCGAGCAGCTTTTCGTCGACACCTTCGTCGCGAAACAAGTTGCAGAACTGTTCATCCAGATTGCAGGTTTTAGCTCCCGAGGAAAGGTTGTTTGAACATTTTGCGCAACATTTTTCTCCCACACTGAACGTACATGGGGGAAGTTTCAAGAAAAGTTGCAAAACTTAAACTATCATTGCAACATTCTGTAGCCAGCCACAAAACCGGGGTGGGTAGCATATTTTACAAACTATATTGTCGCATGGACCAGGCCCATCCCACATCCTCAACTGCCCAGTGGCCGGAATCAGAACCTCAATCCACAACACCTTTGGGCGTCATGAACGACGACGGCTGGTGGGCCCAACGACGCGGCTTCTACGCGGGAAGAAGCCCCGTTATCCCAGAAAAAGGCCGGGCGTCAAAATTGCATACGACCCGCACCTATACTTGACCTCCGACATAGAGAACATACACACACCGAAAAATGACGTCATATGGCGGACCGGTAGACTGTAGGCAAAGCCACTGACCAACAGCGAAGCACAAAAGAGAAAACTTGGCGATATACTTTTTGTACACTATTATTATCGTCCGTTTCGTAGATCGTAGTCTACTCTGTTGCCATCATCTTGTAGCCCTTTGTCGGTGTGTATCTTCATATTGCCCATACGTTTTTTGTTTTCGTACGTGGTCTGGCCATCCACGTGTCAGCTGCCTTCAGCTTAGCACTGGCACCGTCCTGAGGCTTGAGATAACTTGGAGAAACAATGTGCTCATCGGCCCCAAAACAGGGAATACAACAACAACAACAACAACAACAACAACAACAACAACAACAACAACAACAACAACAACAACAACAACAACAACAACAACATGCAACAACAACAACAACAACATGCAACAATATTTTCTGTGTTGCTGCGCCCGCTACAAACTTCCTGAGCGTACCCCCGGCATCCTTCGGCGAACGATTCTATTCACACACCTGGTTGTGCCTGTTTCGTCGTTCTGTTCGCCCCATGCAGTGTTTTTCCCTTGAGAAAGATAAAGAGAATGCCCCGGGGCGTTTGTCACGCACGCACCCGAGGCGATGTTTCGAAAACTTGAAAATAGAGCAAGCCGCCCCCGGGACTTTCGCGCTGAACGGTACTTTATTCGCTGTGTGTCGTTCGACTACTTTATGTCCCCCTGGTCGTCTTCCGTATAGGTGGCGTTTCTCCCGTTCTTTGCGGTATTGAGTATGGCACTGCCATAGATAGATATCGAGACAAGAGAATAACGGCCATATCAAGTGCGGTTGTTTATGGTGCTGCGTAAGGGTTTGCAATACGACAACTTTATTTTTCGGTTTCGGGGGAGGAGGGTACGGAGTGATCACCACCCTCCTCCGTAAGCACCATTATCAAACATGTACAAAACCCGACCATGCCTATTCCTAAATGCGAAAGGGGCCCCGTGTCAGGTAGGGAGAATATTGAATATTGTGCATCTGCGTGGAGTAGACACGGTGTCCAGCAAAGAGGGGGAGAGGGCAGTGAGGAAGACGGAGGGGAGGGGTCGAGGAAAGGGGGAAAATGAAGAGGAGGAGGAGGAGGAGGAGGAGGAGGAGGAGGAGCCGGGGCGGACGTATGTTCGGTGGGGCGGAATCGCACCCGGAAACGGCCGTATCGGTTGGTGGAGTATTGCGCACGGGAAGAAGATAGGATATCGGAAAACGATTCGCTGAAGGCCAACAGGCGAACGTAGCACCCTTAGCTACTTAAGAGACCACGGTTTTCCGTCGACCGTGCTGAGGTTCTTCATTCAAGACCGTAGAGGCGTAATGCTGTCTGGGGCTTTCATTTTTCGTGAAAATGCATTCCAGGAGATGTGATGTAGATGATAAGGATGATTATCGTGCCCAAATTTGTCAAATGGCTACACCGCACCAACCGAACCAACCGTGTTTCTAACGATCACGAAGCGCGAGGGTGCAGATTAAGTGATGCCCACCTGAACGCAGCGTTTGCCGCTACTCATGTAGGCACACCGTGTTGGAAAAACTGAGTAGTGTGCTTGTGCGGCATGATGGTGCGATGCCCCGCGCCACCACCTCTTGTCGACCGGGTGGGTTTGGTTTTGAGGTTTAGCCGCGGCATGGGTGTTTTTGGCATGATTGTTGTGTGGTATCAAAGAGATGCAAAAGTGTTAGTGATTGCCACTTTTGAGACGATGTCGTGCTTTCTGAACGCACTTTGCTTGGCAGTGTATATTGCTCGAAAAGCTGCCGTCGACTTGAACTGTCTGTCAAACCACAACGTAGTTTTTTCACGAGCATGCGGGAACTTGACGTCGAGCGCAAATCCTCCACTCGTATTAAGTTGATCCGCTCGTGGGTACACGAATGTTTTTTCGAAGGGGGGGGGTATAGCTTTTGCCATTTCATTGTTGAACAAATGCCGCAGTTTTTCATGGCGGTGGAATGCTCAAATGATGCCAGCCTAGTCTAACGCCTGCTGGGTAGGAGAAAACGAATGCCGTGCGAAGCATGGCACAATCCCTCGTTGATCTTCACGAGGGATGTACATCCATCGATATGGCTATCCTATGCGAGAGTTCACCATTGGATAATGTTGATGTATTAGTCTTCGACGAGGTTTTAGAGAGTCCGAATCATGTTGACTCCCTATGCGTGACCGCTGTCCAGTTCTGCGGCTGTCCAACATTTGATTTGGAGCTGGTGTTTGGTTTGATTCTGTTGGTGGCCCTTCGATTATGGTGGCAGCCACCATGTTCGGCTCAAGTCAGCTACTGCCCACAACCGTAGTTGATTACCTCATCCACGATTCGTTTGGCAGCAGTCCCGCACTGCTTTCTCGTGTGCTCACTGATTGGTGGGTAACAACCAATTCGGGTGGATCACACCAACCTTTTCCGACTTCTTGCGTGCGGCAGGTCCCAAAAAGACAAACGAGAGGAATACGGCCAGCCCGGTCAACACCAGACCCTGTCCTCATTGTTGAAGGTTGCGGATGGCAAGGGGCACCAACCACCACTCGAGCGACAACGAACGCCTCGCCGGCCTACATCACCATCAGCCCAACAGCACCGTTGAAACAACCGAGAGAATACTCGGCAAGACCGAGGTACCGCACCGGATCAGAGTTCGTCGTGTGTCGCTGAAACGACGAAACCTTGAGGAGGTCTACACTGATGAGCCTAGCCTGATCGGCGAGTGTACGACAGAATGAGCGCGTTCTTGGTCAATGCTTGACTCGCGACGACTTCGGTGACTTTCGCGTCGTCGTACCGACGCCACCACTGTCCCGGCAGGCGGACGAAAGCAACGTAGTGCCCCTTGTTGGTCGTTTGGCCGATGTGGTGCACGACTCCGGTGAGGTCGTACATGTCCGGCTGCCGGGCTGCTGGCCAAAAAGCAGATGGCGGTGAGGGCAATGAAGTTTGAGGCGAGAAGAAGTTGGAAAACGTGCTGGTTTGCATAATCGGAGAAGAAAGGCGGAATTCCACTCAGGGGTGGGCACTGGTGAACTGAATACCCTGGTGGTGTGAAGTATCTTACCTCCGGCTCTGCTGGTAGGTGGGCCGATGTACGGCGCCATATCCATCTCCTTGGGGATGTGGACATCGTGGGTCAGTTTCTCGCCGCGCCTACCGTCGTCGACGAGGAAAGAAGCAGAGCACAACAGTCAACAATTGGGGCCAAAAAGAAAAGACGAAAACTGCTTGCGCAGGTTCTGGGTACACGCATGTGGGTCTCAACGAAGGCGACGAGCTCAACAATACAAATGACCAAGGACAGCTCACGTCGTGTAGGCGAAGCGCATCAAATATAGCAGTACTGTCCGCGGGCATTTTTTCAGCCAGGACTGCTCTTCCCGCGAGCTTAGCCCCACGTCGTTGTCGTGCTGAAACAACAAACCGATACAAGCAATGCAGTTGACCGTGCGCATAGTGGGGAGTGCGGAGATGAACGACATGATTCATCAGGGATCGGTTTCTAAGCTTCAAGTGGACTCATACTGAAACTATGGCCAACCCTCCTCATTAGGCAATGCCCCCAAGAGCTAGAAATGCTTTCGAGCAGCCAAAGGTGAACCGACGTGCCTCCCCATTCTTATGTTCTGTTCAGCACACGGTCGACCTGTGCGGCGTATGGCCGATTAACATGGCCTGATTAACATCGATTCCTCATGGGGAAAACCGATCGAGTTCCTTCGCCTTGTGCCAACAGAACGACCATGCATAGATGCCACACTACCCCGCCACCACCGCCCTACCAATGGCGCCAATTGGCACCAGACACGACCAAGAAGACAGATATCACTCCCCTTAGAATAGCCGACCCAACCGGCGCCGGTTCTACCTGCGCCTTTCCCTTCAGGGACTCCGATATCCGCCGCACGTATTTAGCGGCTCTCTGGTCGGGCGGCTCCTCCCGAGTCGTCTCGGCGAGAAGCGTGATCCCCTGGGAGAGGAATGAGTTTCGAGTACAATGATTGGAACACGCCAGACTCACGTTCGTCTGAATTTCCACCAATGTTTATTGAGCAACGCCAGGCCTCAATCAACGGTGATGAGCATGCAACGTGGTAGACTGTACAGCTGGCGTGGAGAACACGTCGGCAAGCAGCCCTGCGGAGAGTCACGGACCCTCACACAAGTTGGCAGGGCGAGCTCGTGGCCAAAAGGACTTGACATATAGCTGTTGTTGGCCATGAAACACTGAACATTGCCGTGAAGATGGATGCACTAGTGATACCGGACGAGATGCGAAACAACTCGAAATCGGGGGTTCTGAAGGCTTTGAATGACCAGTTCACCTCCAGCAATAGGATCATCGCGTCATCCACCACACCACCCGCCAGAGTCGTCTCGATCGCGTCCTCCGCCCCTCCTGAACGAAGTATTGGCTAAAGGTGGACAGGCAGCACACAAGTAACACAGCGAAACACGGTTGTGGTGGTGTCGACCATACGCAGCCCTGACCGATATTGTCGGGAGAGTTCGGAAGGGTGAGCTGAAACACACAGGTGTAGCCGAAATCCGCCCGAAGCCCCAAGCACTGCCTGGAAACGGCTGTCACACTGAACACACGACTGAATTCCATTCATTCGTTTCGGGAGACCTGCATTGGCTGAAACAAGCACGACAATCGACACCTGGCATTGTGAATGTCAGGCTTCCACACGAGTTTTTAAGGCAGAAACGTCGAAGGGGTGTGAAGATGGTAGGCCCGGCGAGAGGATAGGCCGACCAAGATCTGTCAACATGTTTCGGCTCGCAGCCTGTCGTACAAAGCTTCAGTGCCAGGAGGTGTGGCTACAGCCGCCACACCCTTCCCCACAAGACGCCAAAAGTGCCCAGCGACCACACACCAGAGACCTCATGCGAATTACTCGAGTAGAATGCCTCAGGGACAATGCCGTGTGTGTGTGCAGCAACAACAACGACTTACCCGCAGCCGAGATGCCGCTGATTCCATCGTTTGTCTCCTTGTGCTCGACTCTCCTTCGAGCCTAGGACTCAGCATTGCCATCGTCTGCGAGTATGGATTGCGCCGCGCATCAAAATGAATGGTATTTGACAGGAAAGGTGTTGTCACGAAGTTCGGGATGAAGATAAACAAGGCTTGAGTTGAAGTGACGCTCGGGGTTTAGGGCCGTTTTGAACAGCAGCTCTTGTAGTTCGCTTCCAAATGTCCAAATTTCCAAGCCGATAGACCGTTCAATATCGATGTGCGGCCCTCGAACAAAAAAACTACTCGCACGGGTTGTATGGAACGAGGTGGTTTCAAAGGAAATCTGTAAAGTCGGCATTGGAAATTTGGAAATAAATGTGGAAGCATCATCGTTGTGTATGAAACGGACCTTTTATTCTATTGGGCCCCAAAAAAAAGGAATAAAGCAACACATCGTCCAACGTTCACTCGCTCCCACCCGATGTAGACACAGAACAGATGTCAAGCAGGCCACTGACAGCATAGTGTGGACTACTCGCTGCTATGCAAGTCAGGCGTCGGCGTCGGGCAGGGTTCGATCATGGCCAAGAAGAAAGCATAGGCAGCTTGGGTGCAGCTACAGCAGCTCAGTGCACACAACTTGGAACCATCGCAGGACCGAAGAAGGTCAGAACCAGAAAAAACGGTGAGGCGTTCAAAACGAAAAAAGGTGCACATTCGAGACAACTGGCCATCTTTTGAGAGTCGAGGGAGAGGCAAGGTGTCAATCGGCAATCACACCGTTGTCCAGAGCAGACGGCAGGCTTCTTGGAAACGGGGCACACATTAGCTGTAAACGGGACGGATTCAAGCTGTGGTGAAAAGAACCAACAGTCAGTGCTTGTAAGAACCCAAGCACCGGTACACGAGACGCAAACTATATACTGAGTTAGCGGAACAGCAACATCGCGAACCTGGTCAAGGAGAAGTTCGACGATGTCGTACAAGCAGGCGTGCTCCGCCGTCTGCGGTACCTCGACCCACTCTGATACCGTCGTGGTGCCTCCAATCTGATGCCGCAGCATCTCCAACCACTCCCCCTTGTGGGCTCGCACCTTGAGTGCAGGGGCGTATCGGTAGGGAAAAGTGGAGCTGAAGCCTACGTGATGGATTGAGAAGCAGGGTCCAACGTCTCCCAGGATATGTGCAGTCAGTCAGCAGTCCAATGGCATTATCGGGGTTGTCGTGAAACCGGATACGTACGTCTACAGGAGTCCACCGCGCAACACCTCGCCCTCGGGAAAGTGACCTGCGACACCCCAGAGGTCGTCGGGGGGGAGTCTCTCCCCCTTCCGCTGAGCACACGCAGCTCCTGGAACTCGCCTACCCGGTCTCTCCCCTGACACCCGGTTCTACACAGTAATCAACCCACCTACACCTAGCAAAACCAATAGCAAGTACAACCGCAGACAACCGACCACAGCGGACTAATTGAAACCTGGCGAAAACGGCACGCCGGGCGGACAACAATTCACAGGTAGATATCAACAAAGCGATACCGGGCACGGAACAGTACCTCGGCGAGTCCCTGGCACGCGTAGCACGGGGAGAGGCTGGTCGTGGCGAATTTCTGTAGCGCAGGAGATTGGGTCAAGTGGGGCACGTAGCAGCAACGGGGGATGTCGTGTTGCTCCGACATGATTCGGCGCTTTAAGCGTGTCCTCTTGCTCCGAATTGACAATAAACGCTTCACTTGATATCGGTGCGGGTTCGAACAGCAACGACGACGAAGAAGGCGGCGGTGGCACTACACGAAAACGCTGCAACGGAATACAATCCGTACCTTCTTCATCGACGACGAAGAAGGCGGCGGTGGCACTACACGAAAACGCTGCAACGGAATACAATCCGTACCTTCTTCATGAGCGCCTCGACGCCCCCGGGCACCTTGCCGTTTCCGTCGGAAGACAACAACGGGATGGTCAAGGTGTGCTCCTTTGTGTCTGCTCCCGACGACACCTGAACTTGTCGGAAGCGTTTGAACGTCTACGTTTCAGCTAAAAGGATGTTACGTGGAACAGCGCCATGGTAACGATGGTGAAAGAGGAGATTGTGCGTGGTTTCGGGGATGGTATGGGGTGGAAGAACTTTCATTGCTCTAGGCCGCTCTTGCAGGACGAGGGTGCCCAGACATACTGTAGGCTTGACGCCGTGTCCCTAACCCTGCACCTGGTCAAGCACAGAGATGAGACCACGCAGCAGGAGATTAGGCGTTCGCTTCAAACATGTGACTGTCAGCACGGCTCGTCGTGGTGACTCGGCTTGGCGTGAGTACTAAACGTCGAGGGCAACCAACCTCGGCGTGAAACTTATCTGTCAGGGTTCCTGAGGTACCAGAGTTGCGCATGCGATACTGTACCAAGCGCTACGCACCGACCCCTCTACAGACTGTGGGATGTGGGAGCGACAACTTTCGGCGTTGGTGGCACACAGGCATCGCTTACATGGCCGCAGCTGCACACACGCCGCGTGGCCACCGTAGGCGTCATGCCAGACACCGCCTTTTTCAACAGCATCCCGGCCTGAAGAAGCCGAACGAAGGGTTGAGAGTGGGCTGAGACGATGACGGTACTGAAAGGCGGAAAGGAACATGTGAACAGCTGAATATTGCGGGGGGTGGAGCGAGGGGTGCGATCTGGAAGGATCTTCCGGGGTGAGTGGCCGCTACTTTGCGCAGTCGTGCGACATATGAGTAGATATTTACATGCTGTACATACGCAGCGCGATATTTGGTCCAACGACCGCAATAGATTGGCACGACCCGTAGAAAAATGACCAAACCATGAAAGATTACCAAGCAGGCGTTGGTGAAAGGTGTGTCGCCCCCGTGGAGCCTTTGGGGGCTACAGGCAACCCTTGAGAGCAACTTGCTGGGTAGATCGAAGCGTGCAAAGTTGACATACGGAATATTACAGAATCGAACGGTCGGCGACAAGAGCCGCACATGAGCACATTCCACTAGGACAGCAACCTACATGTAGTCGAAGGTTCGGACGGGGACAACTAGTCAATGACACAAGAAGCGCAGGCATTGCACAGCTCTCATATTCAATGTCGGAGTTTTACGGTACGTTAAACACAAGCGGCATTAGAGTACCAGAGTCTGCGAGGAAGCATGGACCTGTCCTTAGGCTTCTGCGCTAGTCCGGGTGAGCCACCCGCCCACGCCCTCAACAAGAACAACAGTACAGCAGAACAAGACAACCTGGAAAGGTGGCCATGTGTTTGTTCTCACCGCCCCGCCACTCTCCGAAGCTACGGAAAGCGCGTCTAGGAGCTTCATCAGGATGAGGTGAGCATCCCCCTGCTGGCCTCGTTGTAGCTGTCACGTCAAACGATCAGGGCATCAAAAGTTGCCGAACACCAGAAACGGAAGACGGAGTTGGTGGGAGAGCTGATCGTAGTGGTGGGATTGGACTGGTCGACTCTGAACCTCTGGCCTGGAGTCAATGTCTGACTCTATTTCTTGAATTATACTTTACATCGGGAACGTAGTATGTACGCGATACGCGTGCCGTCAGAAACAAGAAGGGACGAAAAGGGGGGTGGTGCAGGCTAGGCTTGAGATTGTGTGATCACCAAGGAGACGTCCGCGGGCGGGGCCGATCTTCCCATCTCCAAACCGTCTACATAGTCGTAAATAAATTCGCCTCTCTTTCGGACAGAATGAACGGGGCAGATGAATGCTCCGAACACCAGTGCCATGGACCTAGAGAGCTAGAATGTTTCTCCTCCCAGGACATTTGGGCAATGGTGTGTTCTCCTTTGTGGGCAACAGATGCAGCAAAACGGCGTATCCGATGATGAGCATGCACACGGATTGGGTTATTCTACCAGGTGACAAGCGGGCCGGTCGGTGGGGTATGTTTGAAAGGACAAGTGAAGGTCTCGCAACGATATTTCGGGACAACGTGTTGAAGCCTAGATCGATCGCTCAATGGCTACTGCGATGGCTTTTGTGTGGAGGAAGGACTGGGAGCACAACATTAGTGCCATGCACTCTATGGCATACCTACGCTGGATGGGGGTGGAGCAATTGCTCAGCGATAGAACAGGGCAATCCCCCCGAAACTCACATCATCATCATTGTAGATGTATTCAGCGACCGATGGGTGTACGTGGCAGGCACCTCTTTTCGGCGAGATATCCATCCCCTTTAGTCACAAGAACAGAGCGGGCGAAGGAAGGGCACAATCAGCCGCGCAACTACCAACGGCAGCAGAGTCGAGAGGTGGAAACTGCTCCGCAGAACTCCGGCCGGTGTTGAGCGGGTTCTTTGCATATGGCACCCCCGAAAAACACAGAAGCAATAAGAAAAAATACCTACCAGCACAAAAATTCATGTGAATAACCGCTGATGATCGTGTTTTGTGCAAATCATGCCGATGCCCTCCACAACGAGTCCTTTCGGCCAGCCGTTTGCCTCTTGGCTACCGTTCAATCAACCCGGATGTGTTCTTGATGGAAAGGACGACGAAGACGGCAAGCCCACCTCACCTCCATCAAGATGGCCATTCCTCGAGTAGCCAACTGCTTCTCACGTTTCTCTTTTGCTGCTGCTCCATCTGTGCCAAAGAAGAAATCAGAAGAAGGGCGCGCAATCGAGAACACCATGCGAAACGTGTGTGTTCGTGTGAGAAAGAGAAAGAGCGAGGAAAGTGTACCAACCGGAGGAAGTCCTTCTTGCAGTGCCTGTTAACTCACTGGCCGGGCTCACGTTGGCCAGGACATGGTTCTCCAGATCTACACTGAAACGGCCTCGCCACGCGACAAGACCGTACGGGTGAGCGTGCAACCTCCGCTCTGGCGGGAGAGGGAGACGTCGACGCGGAAACAAAGAGTGTTGGATGAAGAAATTCCCAAGCCCCAGCCTTCCACTTGCCGTGCGTACGAGGAATAGGATGCTGACCTCCCATACGTTGCCGACCTCGTTCATCGGTGTGTGGGATGGGCGCAAGCAAGGTGCTCGTTATGGTTGGCCACATATGTTAGCGAGTTTATTGTCTGTCAGAAGGGTTAGGAAGATATGTCCGCGTTTCGAGCCCTGTGTTCTTGTGTTTCAAAACCTCCGGCGGTGCGGCATGCATCCACCGATTGTTAGCGGTTCCGCGTCTTCCAAGTTGCTATTGTTGATGTCGCTCTTGTTGTTTATGCGGACGCGCGTGTTCGGCTTGTGGTCGCGGGTTTATTTAGCTTCAGGACAGCAAAGGTTCTGAAAGGCACATGTGTGTCTGCCATATCTCACCGCGTGTGGAGCTGTTACCGGCGCCGTTGGTGGTGGGAAAGGTCCTGGGGTAGGCCAATAGCCCCTCACGAAGCTGCGGGCAGTGGCGTAGCAGCTGCAAGATTGCATTAACGCAGCACAAATTGTCTGACGAGCTGTTTTGGAGCCCCCTGTAGCGAGGAGTCGTGGGCGCACGGACAGCCAGGCGGTCGGCGATAGGGCAGCAGTTCGTTGCTGTATGGTCATGTGGACCGAGAGAGGCGCGCGAAGGTAGGTCAGCATGATAGATCGAGAGCACCTCAACCTGTAATATCTGGATCCGGGCGCTAGGTTTCCATGATTTGTGACAACTACAGGTAGGCAGGTGCCCTCGATTCGTGATACTTGATTTCGATACATTGCACCGTGTACCTTGGCCAAATCGGCCCTGGGACAACTGAAGTCGCCTCCATGACGTTATGTGACTACTATTGGCGAGGTTAAGCGGCAAAGCAACAACACGACAACACGAAACTATGGTTGCGGGTTGATGCTTTACCACAGCGAGGCTCCAAGTCGTGGTACGTCGGTGGCTCCAAGCACGCACGCGGCTGGGAGCCCCATCACCCAAGACAAGCGCCTCCCTGCTGGATAGTCCGCTCTACTACCTTGCATGAAAGAGCCATGCCTTACAGTAGTTTGACGAGCACTCACCTCTTGCTGGGTGCGCGCAGCAGCGGTTGAGCCGGTGGCTTCCGCTTTGCCCCGCCCGACGATGCACCGCCGGAGATCTCGGAATTATTTCTCCCGGAGGATACTGCGGCTCCTGCAAGACACCAACGACAACAGATGTGGAACGTCTCGGCATGGAAGCATACAATGCCGAACAAGGTCGCAGAAGAGAGCATGTAGTAGTGCGGGGTCACCGAGATTCTCTGAACCGTCCAGCGGAAAAGACAAGCTGCGCTGGACCAAAAGTTCCCCCGACCCCACAGGATACTGTGAAGAGTACAGTAAAAATGGCTTCGCAGTGCCCGTGCAGGCACCATAGAGGGGCCGATAATATTTCCCAGGTGCGTGGCAAAAAGCAACGCCACATGGTTTTCCTTTCGCTGACAAGCACAATTGGCCGGTCGATCGGAACAATTGCCTGTGTCTCACGAGACGCCTTGTCCGTCGAAGGTCCAGCAGGAGTTGCAGCTGGAGTCGTTCCTGCACACTGGGTCGATAAATAACTATCGAGCGACGGTCCTGATTTTTTATGTCTATCTAGGAAGCGTTACCTCGGGCGGTGGGGGCGGCCGTGTCGGCGGCGCCGACAATGGCTTCCGTGCCGTCCGTGGGGGTCGGGGCATCGGCGGTGGCGGGGGCGGTGGCGGCGGCGGCTTCTGATGGCTTCTGCGGGGCGCGCGTGGGAAACGGGGGGTACAGTGCCGTTGAAACGAAAGGGCGGGGGCTGCTTGGGGTGAAAGCGGAAGCGGGCGCTCGTGTGGCATAAGGTGCAACGGATTTGGGTGTGCGAAACGTTGTGTAATTTTACAACCCATTCTGGTTAGAGAACAATTATTCGTGAGCGAGAACGAAAGGGAGAGGAAGACCGGGTGTGGGAAGTCGACCGTCACCGTCATTCCGCAGTTGCTTTGCGTGGGTCCGATGAAGCGTCTCGTGAAAGCATGCCTCCATGCGCAATGGATTGCACCAGCACAAACCACCAGCAGCAATGGGTTAGCGATCGACTGTCTTCAGGTTACTGTTTCCGTCGTGCACCTGCAAGACCGAGCCCACTCCAAGACCAAACCCGGTGGTGTTGACGGAAGGCCGTCG